GGCTGGTCTGATTGAACGCTTTTCTCCCTCAAATTTCTCCCAACCAACTATATATTCCCTGCAGGGCTCATGGTATTCGTCACGAGCATCGCCAGGATGTGCAGCCACGCCGACTATACTCTGGGGTCCCCAGCGTGGACCGTATAGTGGCACAAAAACTGGTTCGTCTTGTCTTCGCCCTCAGGAGGCAGACGCCATCAGCGCATTGACCAGCATCTCGATCGAGGGCCGGGCTGGAACTAGGCAACACCGTGGACTCACAATGATGGGCGTTGGTTAATCTAGCAACGGGAATTAGTTTTTCTTTTTTTTCACGTTGTCTTGGTTAGGATATGAGACAGTGTAGTTTAGTTCATATATTGTGCACCCCATACCCATAATGTGAACGGGGGTAGTGGGAGAGGTTACAGACGCACACATAATGGCCTCACGAATTGAATCCCAAAATAGAACGCAATTTCGTATTCCAATATTTTTTTAACTTGCTGGAAATGTTAGTTTTGGTCAGATAGCATGTTGAGTGGCGTTGTTGTTGTTGTTTTTGTTTTAGATTCAGCTTGCTAGAACAAACAGTTCCATTAGCATGGGCTATGGTGAGCCCGTCTGAGTCTGAGTGTTACAATATCTGTGTGGGAAAGTTACGAGAACATTTAAAATTATTCCTACAATGAATATCCAGTTTATATACAGTTCATGAGGTTAACATTTGAACACTAAACAGATGACAGCCGCTAGAGTAGCATGATGGGCGTCAACGCACAGGAATGACTCCAGATAGTTTCATTATATACCCAGATGACGGGACTGGTTTTTCCAAAACCTTTTCGTCATTTTTTTTGCACATTATCTCCCGTCCATAATCCTGTGTTGCTCTTCGCAGTATTTGTGGATTTACGCATGAAAGATGACAGAGAAAGACCTATTAGCGGGGTAGACAACGTTGCCGTGCGAGTCTGAGTGGTTTTAACTTAACTACCGCCCACAGGATTACCAGGATGGTTCCAGCCTGCAGACCTCCCTGGCCGGTCCCGGACACCACCTACAACCTTCCCTGTCGCTTCGATCATGGCTTCTGCATGGGCATCCATCCTTCTTACCCCCCATGCTCAAATGGAGGAGGGTGTACAGCATGAGTATGGGGGTCCTACCGCCCGCTGGATGGGTATGGAGGTCCTACCGCCCGCTGGATGGGTATGGAGGTCCTACCGCCCGATGGATGGGTATGGAGGTCCTACCGCCCGATGGATTAGTACGGGGTCCTACTGCACGCTGGATGGGTACAGAGGTCTTACCGCCCGCTGGATGGGTATGGGGATCCTACAGCCCGCTGGATGGGTATGGGGGATCCTACAGCCCGTTGGATGGGTATGGGGGTCCTATACCGCCCGCTGGATGGGTATGGGGGTCCTATACCGCCCGCTGGATGGGTATGGGAGTCCTACCGCCCACAAAATAGCTACGGGGGTCCTACTGCCTGCTGCATGGGTACGGGGGTCCTATACCGCCCGCTGGATGGGTATAGGGGGTCCTACCGCCCACAAGATAGGTACGGGGGTCCTACCGCCCGCTGGATGGGTATAGGGGGTCCTACCTCCCACAAGATAGGTATGGGGGTCCTACTACCTGCTGGATGGATACGGGGGTCCAACCGCCTACTGGATGGGTACGGGGGTCCTAACGATCACAGGATGGGTATGGGGGGTCCGACCGCCCACTGGAAGGGTATGGGGGGGGGTTCCTACCGCCCACAAAATGGCTATGGGATCCTAACATCCACAGAATTTTAGCATCCAACCACCTACTAAATGAGTATAACATTCCACTCACAGGATGTATGTGTGCTGGGGGTGAGGACAGGGAGAGATGTGTACTGGGGGTGAAGACAGGGAGGGATGTGAACTGGGGGTGAGGACAGGGAGAGATGTGTACTGGGGGTGAGGACAGGGAGGGATGTGTACTGGGGGTGAGGACAGGGAGAGATGTGTACTGGGGGTGAGGACAGGGAGGGATGTGTACTGGGGGTGAGGACAGGGAGGGATGTGTACTGGGGGTGAGGACAGGGAGAGATGTGTACTGGGGGTGAGGACAGGGAGGGATGTGTACTGGGGGTGAGGACAGGGAGAGATGTGTACTGGGGGTGAGAACAGGGAAGCATGTGTACTGGGGGTGAGGACAGGGAGAGATGTGTACTGGGGGTGAGGACAGGGAGGGATGTGTACTGGGGGTGAGGACAGGGAGGGATGTGTACTGGGGGTGAGGACAGGGAGAGATGTGTACTAGGGGTGAGGACAGGGAGAGATGTGTACTGGGGGTGAGGACAGGGAGGGATGTGTACTGGGGGTGAGGACAGGGAGGGATGTGTACTGGGGGTGAGGACAGGGAGAGATGTGTACTGGGGGTGAGGACAGGGAGGGTTGTGTACTGGGGGTGAGGACAGGGAGGGATGTGTACTGGGGGTGAGGACAGGGAGAGATGTGTACTGGGGGTGAGGACAGGGAGGGATGTGTTCTGGGGGTGAGGACAGGGAGAGATGTGTACTGGGGGTGAGGACAGGGAGAGATGTGTACTGGGGGTGAGGACAGGGAGAGATGTGTACTGGGGGTGAGGACAGGGAGGGATGTGTACTGGGGGTGAAGACAGGGAAGCATGTGTACTGGGGGTGAGGACAGGGAGAGATGTGTACTGGGGGTGAGGACAGGGAGAGATGTGTACTGGGGGTGAGGACAGGGAGAGATGTGTACTGGGGGTGAGGACAGGGAGAGATGTGTACTGGGGGTGAGGACAGGGAGAGATGTGTACTGGGGGTGAGAACAGGGAAGCATGTGTGCTGGGGGTGAGGACAGGGAGAGATGTGTACTGGGGGTGAGGACAGGGAGGGGTGTGTGCTGGGGGTGAGGACAGGGAGGGGGTGTGTGCTGGGGGTGAGGACAGGGAGGGGGTGTGTGCTGGGGGGGTGAAAACAGGGATGAGATGTGTGCTGGGGGATGAAGACAGGGAGAGGTGTGTACTGGGGGGTGAAGACAGGGGGAGGTGGGTGCTGGGGGGGGGGTGAAAACAGGGATGAGATGTGTGCTGGGGGATGAAGACAGGGAGAGGGTGTGTGCTGGGGGGGTGAAGACAGGGGGAGGTGGGTGCTGGGGGGTTAAGACTGGTATAGTTGGCGGCCAGTTAGGGTTACAACAGGATGCTTGAGTGTCGACCTAAAAGGGGTTAGGACAAGCCTGGCCCCTAGGGAAAACATGCAGTTCCTAAACTTCTTATAATACAGTAGTCTGCAGTCCCGAGCAGATCATCTTATCATATGCAAGAAGGGGGAATGATGACTCCAGCTAAAATAGTAGCTACTTTATTATAACCCTAAACCCCTCCAAATACAACATAAATACTTTACCACCTCTACCTTACGTTACCTCTCTGACTCCACTCAAGCAGGAGACGAGATTCACACACAACAAACAAGTGGTAGAGTATACGAATCCTTAAGGAATAATTTAACTTAACCTAAATGCATAAAATTATAGTAGACACGTGTTCATTGGTCAATTCGTGGATCTAATTCCATGGAACTCCAGGATATGACCAGGGTTCACAGACAAGATTACACTTAGAACAGCAGGGTGGCCGTGGTAAGGTACTTAGTTACAACTTAATTTAAGAAGAAGAGAAGGAGAGGAGGAGGGGGGGGGGGGTGACGCCTAGCCAAGACGTCCATTCTGTCCCAAGATTGCTACAAAAGAGGACGCCTTCATCCTTGCCATGTGGCTCGTTGCCTGGCTTGATCAGCTGATCCTACAGTAACCAGTTACTTATCCTCTAATACAGTATTGAATTGCCACCATTACAATTCGAAATACAAATATAACATCCTAGCTTTACAATACACTAACAAATTATTATCAGTGTAACTAAAAAACTAGGAGCATCAAAATGATCTTGCGTCTATGAAGGACACAATCGCCCGCCATTTGCATTTGAGGAACAATCCTGAGTATAAAACTACCAGACCATTAACATTCCTTCTTTTAACCAAACTTATCTAAAAACTCCATAATTTAAATAACACAAATCCAACATATAATCCAACACATTCCGGGCTTATCACACATATTGGCTATTTTCTACCATGTTCCCCCCTTTTTTTTATCTTTATTATATTTTTTTCTTTCAACGCAATTTATACTTTACGCTCAATTACTATTAAGTTTTAGTCTAAGTGCTTTTTTCCCCTCACCTCACCTTGCCCGAAACGCTATGCGTACTAGTGGCTTTAGGTATTGTATGTACTACCTCTATCTTTAAATCAAACAGAATGTTTGTACTGTAACTCTGCAACTATGTATGTACTTTTTCTAAATAAATTATTATTATTATTATTATTATTATTATTATTATTATTATTACAAAAATACATACCCAAGTGAAGGGTCCCTATTTCATCTGTCACAGTGCTACATTGGACCCAGGATCGTAATAAAGACAGGGAGGGGGTGTGTGCTGGGGTGAAGACAGGGATGGGGTGTGTGCTGGAGGTGAAGACAGGGATGGGGTGTGTGCTGGAGGTGAAGACAGGGACGGGGGGTGTGCTGGGGTGAAGACAGGGATGGGGTGTGTGCTGGGGTGAAGACAGGGATGGGGTGTGTGCTGGGGTGAAGACAGGGATGGGGTGTGTGCTGGAGGTGAAGACAGGGACGGGGGGTGTGCTGGGGTGAAGACAGGGATGGGGTGTGTGCTGGAGGTGAAGACAGGGACGGGGTGTGTGCTGGGGGTGAAGACAGGGATGGGGTGTGTGCTGGAGGTGAAGACAGGGACGGGGTGTGTGCTGGAGGTGAAGACAGGGATGGGGTGTGTGCTGGGGGTGAAGACAGAGATGGGGTGTGTGCTGGGGGTGAAGACAGAGATGGGGTGTGTGCTGGGGGTGAAGACGGGGATGGGGTGTGTGCTGGGGGTGAAGACAGGGATGGGGTGTGTGCTGGAGGTGAAGACAGGGACGGGGTGTGTGCTGGAGGTGAAGACAGGGATGGGGTGTGTGCTGGAGGTGAAGACAGGGATGGGGTGTGTGCTGGGGGTGAAGACAGGGATGGGGTGTGTGCTGGAGGTGAAGACACGGACGGGGTGTGTGCTGGAGGTGAAGACAGGGACGGGGTGTGTGCTGGGGGTGAAGACAGGGATGGGGTGTGTGCTGGAGGTGAAGACAGGGATGGGGTGTGTGCTGGAGGTGAAGACAGGGACGGGGTGTGTGCTGGAGGTGAAGACAGGGATGGGGTGTGTGCTGGGGGTGAAGACAGAGATGGGGTGTGTGCTGGGGGTGAAGACAGAGATGGGGTGTGTGCTGGAGGTGAAGACAGGGACGGGGTGTGTGCTGGAGTTGAAGACAGGGACGGGGTGTGTGCTGGAGGTGAAGACAGGGACGGGGTGTGTGCTGGAGGTGAAGACAGGGATGGGGTGTGTGCTGGGGGTGAAGACAGGGATGGGGTGTGTGCTGGGGGTGAAGACAGGGATGGGGTGTGTGCTGGAGGTGAAGACAGGGACGGGGTGTGTGCTGGAGGTGAAGACGGGGATGGGGTGTGTGCTGAAGGTGAAGACAGGGACGGGGTGTGTGCTGGAGGTGAAGACAGGGATGGGGTGTGTGCTGGAGGTGAAGACAGGGACGGGGTGTGTGCTGGAGGTGAAGACAGGGATGGGGTGTGTGCTGGAGGTGAAGACAGGGATGGGGTGTGTGCTGGAGGTGAAGACAGGGACGGGGTGTGTGCTGGGGTGAAGACAGGGATGGGGTGTGTGCTGGGGGTGAAGACAGGGATGGGGTGTGTGCTGGGGGTGAAGACAGAGATGGGGTGTGTGCTGGGGTGAAGACAGAGATGGGGGGTGTGCTGGGGTGAAGACAGGGATGGGGTGTGTGCTGGGGGTGAAGACAGGGATGGGGTGTGTGCTGGGGGTGAAGACAGGGATGGGGTGTGTGCTGGGGGTGAAGACAGAGATGGGGTGTGTGCTGGAGGTGAAGACAGAGACGGGGTGTGTGCTGGGGGGGGGGGAGACAGGAAATCCACATTCCCCCAACATACACTGGCAGGACATTATCTCTCAGGACGTTTCTGATCAACTTTCAGTTTGGCAATTCGTTCCTTGATGTTGTTACGGGCGAGGATCTCATCCCCCTTTTTGACGTATATATGATCTAAGCCCGTGGCCACTAAAGTGTATCCCATCCTCTCCATGTGAGTATGATCAAATGTCCCAATCTCGTCCTCAGCAACGATGACTCTCACGGAGATGCTGTTCGACTTTAAGAGGGAGTCCAAGATGAGGACTTCGGTGCCTTGTACGTCCAACGAGAGAAGGTCGACTGTAGAAACATTAAGCGCCAGCAGGTAAGAGAGCAGCGGGAAGCACTGCACTTGGGAATATGTTTTATCTACTGGTGAATCATTGTCTAGTATGACTACATGGTCCTTCCGCAGTTCATGACTGTGTCCGCGGTAAACCCACCAGTAACTCTTTTGAATTAATTGCCTGTCGGCGCTATGCGAAACCATGATAATTTTCTTGGGGAAGGGCTCGGAAGAAAGGCAAGTGTTTGAGGTCCAGGATTTACGATGCTTTGATCTGAGGGCTTTGTAGCTGTCCTTGTCCGGCTCAATGAGGAGTCCTCTCCATCCGAGTGACATCTCCAGCCAGAGTGTGTTGGAGAGATACACACCGTCCAGCGCTCCAGCCTCTACGAAGAACCCATCTCGCTGCTCGGAAAATATTTCTTTTAGATGGTTGAAGATCCAGGGCCACGTAAAGCTGTGCTGGCCTTCCACCAGGAAATTGGAGGTAAAGTTGTAGGGCAGGTTGGAGGGAGGGTCCAAGAAGTCGGTCCTGAGTATGTCCAAGACCTCGGGGTCGCTGGCGGGTAAAGGACCAGCTAACCTCTGCCGCAAGTCCTTCCCGCTAGCCACCGTAACCTGCATGATAATAAATTACACATTTTAGCAAAGCAGCGCCAACTGTTATATAAACAATTGTAATTTTGTATAATGCGGTAACTTCGGGTAGATTGAATTCCATTGTGACCATTTATACAACGAGTCTGACAGAACTACATTCAAGATTTTTCCAAATGTATTCCATCTTAATTCAACATTTTTTCATGAATTTATAGTTATTATTACAGTATTAAAATAATTATCATTTTTGTTTGTGACAACAATAATATTTGTTATTGTATGCAGCAGAATTGTAGTTTAAAGGGATTATATTTCTCTAATGTGTATGAGTGAATTAAGACATAACTAAATCTACTTCCATAATAATAATATCTTAGTTAAAAAATAACAAAATGGCAAAAATGACTTTTATAATTGTTTTTTAATGTTCAGTTAAAACTGAAGTTATCTGAATATCATAACTAAAAAATTAAAGTTTCAATTATGAGAGCCGTGACACACCGCAAGTTGACACAATAGTTCACAAGACTCCTCATGGTTCACAACACACACGTACATAACGCATGTGTATACGTATATAGTCATTATTAAAAACCACAGTCAAGATCCCAGTTCAAACTTTCTTACAGTTACACCAGGAAGATGAGACTGTGGCATGGGAAGCGAGGCCGTCGCTGTCCTGACCAGTCCGACTGACTGGGCTGATAAGATAGGTAATCTATGCAAAATATTCATGAATGTAGTAAAGAGCTAAACAAAACGATTCGGGGGACCATTACCAGAAGTGAAGGAGGACGGTGGAAACGTACGGTGCTGGCAGAGACCGTTACCAGACGCGGGGAAAGGTAACTTGAATGAATGGTGGCAGCAACTATCGTCCTTCAATCTTTCTACTATTCTAGCACTCTTACTTCGTACTCTTCTATCTCCTCCTTGATTTCAGTCTCTCCCTTTCATCCTAACTCTCCCTTTTTCCTGTCCTCTACCTCCCTCACCTCTCTACCACCCTTTCATCTCTCTACCTGCCTCATCCTCTGCCCTCACCTCACTTTTCATTCTTTTCCATTTTAGTATCTGGCGAATGTCACCAGAGGCCTCCCATACGGTCAGTTCTCAGACCTGTCTCGTTCCTCATATTGGAATATAATCTTCCAGACTAATTCCTCTCAGTGTTTGCCTGATAAAAAAATCTGAGGATTAACTCAGAGAAAAATAGCAAAACACTACCAGGTGATCTGGATCAATTTAGTGAATGGCCCAACAAATTACTACTTGACTGGACTAACGCCTGGACTAACGCCTGGACTAACAGTAATCGCGGCCAACCAACTCGAGCCCCTCTCAGTCAACTACCTAAAATCCCTGCTCAACATCTACAATGTCATTCTGGCGACTGGGCACATCACGAGGGCGCTCAAGACGGCCACTATGATTTGTATCTCCAAGCCAGGCAAAGACAGACATTCCCACGAGAACTACACATCGGTCTCCTTGTGGAAACAACGAGTAAATGCTTCGAGAAAATCATGTCAAATCGGGTTAACTGCTACATGGACTACCACCACCTCTATACAGAAAACAGTTTGGTTTCAGGATCCAGGATCAACCCAGCATGCTATCAATATTACACACAGAAATCATAATAGTGTGATGTATCAAATGAACAAATCCACAAGGACCGTGACGAGGATTCGAACCTACGCCCGAGAGCATCCCAGCAAACAAATCCTGGTTTGTGTCTCGGAGAGGCTGCAGGATCCAAGTAAATTCAGTAGAATTTCTAGTTGCAATTCTTATACCATGTCGTAGCTCAGTCGATTAAGGCAGCGTCTGGGATGCTCTCGGACGTAGGTTAGAATCCTCGTCACGGTCATTGTGGATATGTTCATGCTATGAACATAATATACGATGCAGTCTACAACTTTAGCGAACAAAACAAAACTGCATTAATAGCAACCAGATACTTTTTTATATTACCTTCGACAGCCTTTGGCACAAAGACCTCCTATTTTTTTTTTTTTTTTTTTTATTTAAGAGTTGTTACATTTTTGTACAGTCACTAGTACGCGTAACGTTTCGGGCAAGTCCTTAATCTTATGTTCCCTGGAATACGACCCCCGCGAAGAATCGTTTTTACAACCAAGTACCCATTTTACTGTTGAGTTAAACAGAAGCTACGGTTAAGGATTTGCGCCCAGTAAATCCTCCCCGGCCAGGATACGAACCCATGACAAAGCGCTCTTACCACTACGCCACGGAGACTACAATTCAACTATTCAATTGACTACCTTACTGCACCATAACTGGATCCTCCTGAGACTGGTTAACATCTTTCTGAAAAGCAGGCAGATTATTCCATTGTTTACCAATAGAGTAGTAGTGACATATACCCCTTCAACAGGAGCAATTCTCTTTAACCTCTTCGTCAATATTTGCCACTCCCCGTACACAACACCATCATTACCTAATTCGCCGACGACGTCATCCACTTTGTCACAGTGAGGCCGGCAGGCCAAGGAACAAAACATGACAGTGATCAGAAAGGTGAAAGAGGAACTTCCTAACACAGCAAGATGGGAAAAAGTGGAAAATAATGACCAATCCCAACAAAACAAATCCTGCTCGATAGGCTGCTGGGCCAGTTCACTCTGGCTAGCCAAAAGTGACGTTATTTTTAAGAGGACGGGTTGCATCATCATCGGAGGCACGTTGATACGGGTCCAGAACCCCCACTACGACTCTTGGCTATATGTCAAGGCTACTGAACTCCACCGAGCACAAACAAGAAGCAATAATGACCAGTACGCAACTAGCCAAGCTGTACCGCTTCATTCAGGCCCCATAGTTGTAAGCATCCATCAGTCATAGGAGACTATGGAGTTGCGCTCTGGTTATCGGTCTGGAGTGGCCTCTCCAGGGCGCTATGCCAGGGTAGGTTGAGATGGAGGAGAAGCTGTCACCCAAGCAGCAGGTCCCCCTCTTTCCACGGTGCCGAAAGTCTCCACTGGAAAGGCAAACACTAATATGATTGGTTCCAGCGTCGTCGCAGGAACTGTCAGAACGAGGTTGAAGGCAACAACGAATTGCCCTAGGGGCTCCAGTTCCGGAGTTAACCTCGAAGTTGGTAAAAGGAGGCACACGGACTCCAAACCCGGAGATCGCCGTGGTCGGGGCCGCAGAAGAACTACCCCAGTCTCCCAAAGCAGAGTTTGGGCACACGAGCCCCAGGAGGTGGTGGGCTCTACTTCCGAGTCCCGCACCTACGGGTTCCAGACAGAGATCGTCACAGTCCCCTTTCATCCTAGGCCGGCTTCCTTCAAGATCAAGCAGAAGGAAGAGTAATAATTAGTAATTAGTTATATTATCATTATAATTATTATTATCCAGGCCCCACAACACGTGCAACTCCATCTCTCCAGGAATGTCAAACACCGACGGGAGCCTAATTAATGAAAACAAAATGCGAGCACCATTCAAGTCATTACACGCCATCTCGTACATCACACCAAATACACAGGTGCAGCAGCATCTTTCATCGCCAAAAATTCCAAAGTGATTGAGCCACTACCCTGTATCTCCCCTCTGATCCTAATCCCTGCTTGAGTTTTCCTACATCCTTACCTTCCCTTCCCTGCTTACCAGCTGTGTGGTCATCGATTCCAATGGTAATATGACAATTCTCCAAGACTTTTGCTGCCAAATGGAATAGGGGAGACATGATTACCTCATACATAATTCTCAGAGAATTGATAGGTAGCAAAGCTTCGGACGGGTGGTACAGGAGCAAGGTGACAAGTGGAAACGGGTTACCTCTATGAGCAGGAGACATAAATCATTTAAGTATCAGAGTAGTAAACAAATGGAATCCATTACGAAGTAAAGTGGTGGAGGTAGAGTCCATACTCAGTTTTAAATGTAGACAAGATAGAGCCAATCATCTTGGAAAACTGTAAACGAGTCGATTGAAAATATTTGAGGCAGGACCAGAGAGGTTGGCAAGAGCAATGTGCTATGTTATAGTGGAGGCGAATTCCATGTAAACTTGTATTCACCTAGTTGTGTTTGCGGGGGTTGAGCTTTGCTCTTTCGGCCCGCCTCTCAACTGTCAATCAACTGTTTTCACTAACTACTTTTTTTTTATTTATTTTTTCTCCACGCCACGCACACACCCCAGGAAGCAGCCCGTGACAGCTGACTAACTCCCAGGTACCTATTTACTGCTAGGTAACAGGGGCATTCAGGGTGAAAGAAACTTTGCCCATTTGTTTCTGCCTGGTGCGGGAATCGAACCCGCGCCACAGAATTACGAGAAGTGCGCGTTATCCACCAGGCTACCAGGCCACCTCAACCAGGCTACCAGGCCCCCTCAACCAGGCTACCAGGCCCCCCCAGGTATACATACGGGGGTGGGGAGCTGGAGCTCATATCCTGCAAATGTACAATGGTGAACATATGTAAACACACACACACTGTTGAAGTTCACCTTTGTGAAGAACGTGAAGAACAGGTAACAAGCAAGAATAAACACCACAAAAAACATGAAGAACGATCTAATAATGCGCTGCATAATTCGCAAGTGTTGCCTTCAGGCGACTGTGTTCACTCAATGTTCCGTGTTCTCATTATCTCGCTCAAGCACCGTGTTCACTTCACAGCTGACGAATGTCTCGCAAGAATGATCCTGACCCCCACAAGTGCATTATCTTCCTGATACAGTTGTGCGCTACGTCTCGGTATGAGGGAGCAGGAATACACCGTCCTCCAAGAGGTGGACCACAGGCACAGAGGAGATCTATTAAGGGGTACCCAGCAACGCTTAATAACCTTGAAGACGCAGAGGAAAAGCTATTTTGAATTATGATTAAACTTCCTGATACGTCATACAATGGGAATTACAACGTATCCTGAGGGCACAAGTATCCTGCTGGCACATCGACCCTTCAGACACACCAATCCTGCATGCATGATACATACACAACTATCCTGCATGGAGGATAGGTGTGTCTGAGAATCTAGACAACGTAAAACGTGTGGATAAAGGCAGGGGACGAACTAGACTATCACATACGGGTTGATAATAATGGTCCAGGACGGACGGAAATGTCATCTTCTGCTAAGTGGTTTGATCATCACAGGGGACATTCACTAGCGCATTACAACTTAGATTTTGGAAAATTTGAGCCTTTTTGATATAAATCAAAACTCACGCTTCATGAAATGGTAGATTAACTTATTACAAATAATAGAACTTCAATTCTCGTACAGTATCCGTATTCTGAATTAAATATATAAATGACATCTGATCAATGTTTACGCTGTGTGACAAAACATAATAAACATCTATTATCATGAAAACAGACAATTATTTTATGTATTGACAATAGCTTCCAATTTAAAATATTGTAAATTCATAGTTACAAATAGGTATGGGTCATCACTACCGCCCACAGGATTAACTTTGTGTGCATAAAAAATGAACTAAAAAAACTAACTTCATTGGACATCTGAATTTGTTGCAGTGACATTATTTCCTTAGAGTCCTGTTGCAACGTATGCAGGATATGCAGTATGCAACGTATGAAGTTCTATAATGTTTTAATATTTCTAGTGGGAGGAGCATATGACATTAATGTTCATGCTTAGGGCTGTATCTACGTGGCGGACTTGTTTGTTTGTGTGTGTGTGTGTGGTGTTGAGGAATCAGGCTATATCTACGTGGCGGTCGTGTGTGTGTGTGTGTGTGTGTGTGTAGTCCCCTAGTTGTGCTTGCGGGGGGGGGGGGGGGCGTTGAGCTTTGGCTCTTTGGTCCCGCCTCTGGTTCCGCCTCTCAACTGGTATACAGATTCTTGAGCTTACTGGGCTCAATCAAATCTACATTTGAAACTGTGTATGGAGTCTGCTCCACCACATCACTGCCTAATGCAATTATTATGTTAACTACTCTGACATGGAAAATATTCTTTCTAATGTCTCTGTGGCTAATTTGGGTACTACGTTTCCACCTGTGTCCCCGTGTTCGTGCTCTACCCCGTGATAAATAGTTTGTCTTTGTCCACCCTGTCAATTCCCCTGAGAATTTTGTAGGCGGTTATCATGTCTCCCATCACATTACTTTCTTCCAGGGACGTGGGGGTTAAGTCCCTTAGACTTTTCTCGTAGCTCATACCTCTCAATTCTGGGACTAGTCTGGTGGCATACCTCTGAATCTTTTCTAACTTTGTCTTATGTTTAACTAGGTATGGACTCCAGGCTGCAGCTGCATACTCCAGGATTGGTCTGACATAAGTGGAATACAAGGGTCTGAGCAATTCCTTACACACGTTTCTAAAGGCAGTTCTTATGTTGGCCAATCTAACATATGCCGCGGATGATATTCTTTTGATGTGGGCCTCTGGGGACAGGTTCGGTGTGATATCAACCCCCAGATCTTTCTCTCTATTTGACTCTTGCAGAATTTCACCTCCCAGATGATGCCTTGTGTTCAGCCTTCTGCTCCCTTCGCATAATTTCATTACTTTACATTTTCCTGAGTTTAACTTTAGTAGCCATTTTCTACACCATTCCTCCAGTTTGTCCAGGTCGCCCTGAGTAGAGAGATTGAGGACTAGAGCAACGGGCTCCATTTCTGAGATGGATAAGAGATGGATGACAGATGGTGAGGAGTGATAACCGCATGATCCAGGGGGAAGGGGTGATTTCCGGTACCCTTCCCACTCTCAATGTGAGATTTTAGGGGTAACTATTGTATTTTTTAGTGACTCTAGCTCTTGGACCAGAGCAAGGATGCGAGATGGGTGACTGATGGACGAGGAGTGATAATTGTGGGACCCGGGTATGGTTTTTCGGTTATCCCATGATCGTTTAATGTGTAATTATGTGTATTTTTTAGTGACTAGCTCTTGGATCAGTACAAGCCGCAGATGGATGACTGATGGATGAGGGGCGATAATTGTGTGACCCAGGTATGGTTTTCCGGTTATCCCATGGTCATTTAATGTGTAATTATGGGGTGTAGAGACTGTCCTACACATTGGGATGGGTGAGTTGCGGGTGATGGATGAGTGTTTGCACGCTAGCTGGAACTGATGTGGTTTTTGTGGTTAACCTCAAGGGAATGGTAATATATTGAAAATGTGGGTTTAGAAAACTTAGTTTGTTTTGCCGACCATCCACTCCACTGGAGGAACGAGGAGAGATATGGATGATGGACGAGGAGTGATAATCCAGAGACCTGGGTATGGTTTCCGGTTGTCCCTGGGTAATATGTGTGATTTTCTGACTACCTCACACCCCTCTTGATTATGTACTGAAGAGGCTCTCCTACTCATGTAGTGGAGGTGGGTGATGTATGGATGGATGGATGACAGGTGTTCATGGTGCTTGAGCGTAAACGATTTGCCTAGGGCGGTTTGGGAGAGAGGGAGGGGGGGGAAGGGGAGGACCGCACCTCCTCCTAGCCAGGTGTGTTGCCACCTAATTACCGCCGCGCCTCACCTCACAGCTCCTCACTTCGCCGCGCCTCACCTCCCCGCACCTCATCTCACCTCGCCACGTCTCACCGCTCCTCATGTACCTCGCTGTGCCTCACTTCGCCGCGCCTCACCTCGCCGCGCCTCACCTCGCCGCGCCTCACCTCGCCGCGCCTCACCTCGCCGCGCCTCACCTCGCCGTGTCTCACCACGCCGCGCCTCACCTCGCCTCATCTCGCCTCACCTCGCCGCTCCTCGCCTCGCCGCTCCTCACCTCGCCACGCCTCAACTCACCACGCCTCACTTCGCCACGCCTCGTCTTGCCGCGCCTCGTCTTGCCGCGCCTCACCTCGCCACGCCTCACCTCGCCACGCCTCGTCTTGCCGCGCCTCACCTCGCCACGCCTCAACTCGCCTTGCCTTGCCACGCCTCACCTTGCCGCGCCTCACCTCGCCGCGCCTCACCTCGCCACGCCTCGCCGCGCCTCACCTTGCCTCACCTCGCCGCACCTCGCCTCACCTTGCCGCTCCTCACCTCGCCACGCCTTATCGCGCCTCACCTCGACGTACCTCACCTCGCCGCGCCTCACCTCGCCGCGCCTCACCTCGCCACGCCTCACCACGCCTCACCTCGCCACGCCTCACCTCGCCACGCCTCACCTCGTCTTGCCGCGCCTCACCTCGCCTTGCCTTGCCGCGCCTCACCTCGCCACGCCTCAGCTCGCCTCGCCTCGCCTCGCCTCGCCTCGCCTCGCCTCGCCTCGCCTCGCCTCACCTCGCCACGCCTCACCTCGCCACGCTTCACCTCGCCTCGCCACGCATCGCCTCACCT